ATTTTTGGTTGAATGCTTCAACTATTCAGTGTCTGTCAAAATGGTTAAAAAGCATGCCTGAAGTTTCTGAATTATATCATATGTTTTTGGCCGTCTGACCTAAAAAGACATAAGTATATGTATTAAAAAGACATTCGGCTTTCGATGGTGTAAGTCAGGTTTTCAACCATCCTGTTTTCAAATATTGCTTGTAAAATCTTGCCAGAAATTACCATATTCCGAAAAAAAAGGTAAGTCTTCACAAAGTTGAACAAAAAAGATATTCAAAAGAAAATAAAAACGTCAAACTTGAAAATGTTGCAAGCTCGTTTTATTTGAACGTGTGATGGACGTTGTAATTACAAGCAACTGTTAACGCCCCCTATGACCGGTCATAATAATGTTTGTGTTATGTAACGCATAATTTATGTAAAAGCAAGTACTGAATTGTCATGTCACACGCTTGCGTACATAACAATTTATACGGTGTAAGAAACGAATAATGTAAAAGGATTATTTGATTTATCTGACCTGAACACCCCTGCTTACTATATCCATGTAAATAATTTAAGTTATTAGTATATTTTTAGCAAATTATGTTGTTATACGAGAAGGAAGAAATAATTTTACATTTTTTTGTGTTTGATAAATATAAGACTTAATATTATGTAAATTGTTCATGTGCATAAATATTCTTTATTTTTATTGAACTTCACCCGTTGACCGTAAGCTTCTACGTGTTTAACGCCATATATGTAGTATCCGAAAAGTTTTAATATCCAACCTTCTATATTTATCATTATTTATTAGATTTAAAAATGTAAAGCTTTTTTATTTATTTATTTTTTGTTTGTTCGTTTGTTTTATGTAAGAATAGGGTATGCCCTTCCTCTTCTTGTTTTGTCGTCAATAAAATGCGTCTACATTCTATTCTTGGCTTTATGTCTGCAAGGAACGAAGAATAAAATTCAATTATGATTTGCAATGACGAAAACAGACTTTTACTGGGCGGCATAAATTCTAAAGTGGAAATCCATTACTTTCATTACACAGTTAGTAAACAATTTATCGACAAAGCAAAAAACGTTCCATTTTCTGTCGTCACATTATTGCCCTCTTATAGTTATGTCAGAGCAGTTATGCATTAACTACTCTACAATTTTGTAGGTGTTAATTGGGTGTTGCACTAAGGTTACGAGTTAAATGACAACCATTTTAAATGAAGACCAAGTAATTAAAGATTAATCGTATCTGGACTGATAATCCTTTTCCAGTTATTTAATAACGATTCAAAATATAATTCATATGTGTGCTTAATATGAATTAAATATTCGTTTGCTTGCTCAGCGCTTAAAAGTGAATTGAATTATGGCTTGGCTGATTCAAATTCTAGAAATGTGTTTCTCGGATTACAACAAAAGCTTAATCTAAAGACAATTTATCATATTTACAATAAGAAATCAATCTCCATTATGATTAATGAAATAAAAACACAACTGAGATGCACATCTGAAAAAAAACTCGGTTCTAGATATCCTTCGATATCAAAAATAATTTAATATCTATATTTTCGTAGACAGAGCCTTATTTGAAAGGTGTCATGTATTGTTATACACAAATCTGGAAACAAAGTGATTCAACTCTACTCAAATGCATTTGTTACATACCCTTCCAACCCACAATGGCATGTAATATACCTTGTCGATATATTGGCTAGCATGTTGAATAGTTGGGAAAGTGAAACGAGCAATTATACTTTTATTACAAACATGTTTTGGAGTGTACGGCTCATCAGTGTTTCAAAGGAGATATAAATTTACAAGTCGTTTATCATTGACAGCTAATTATTCAGCAAAGTATCCTTTTAAGTAACTGCAATTATGAATATATAGTATTTCAAAAGATTTATTTCAATTTGTTGACATTTAGTTAGTATAATGGATAATTTAAATGTCTGCAGTCGAATCCCGGTGTTCTTATAATATAAACCACATTACTATAACGAGAAGTAATTTGAGAATGACTTTTGACATAAAAAGGAATTTCATGTCATGTGTCGTCTAATTAAATGTTTTATTTGCAGACCATTTCCACTTTAAATGAGGCATATTGACATTTCTAATAAGGGACTATTTTAGTCCTGTTTCCTGATGGCGATGTGTTCAATGTAAGAATGGTGAGTGGATAAAAGGGCTGTCATTTCCGAGTTCAATATTTTTATTTTAAGCTCAAATTAATCAAACAAAGCTTGTCTTTTTTTCCTCGGGAAAATGCTTTTCACAGTAATACTGAAATACAAGAGAGATGTAAAACTGTGAATGTTGTAGGCGTCTGTAGGTCGACATTTGATATATTAATCACTTTCGAATGATCACAGTGAATTGTATGATTATTAGTTGACAAATTCATTAATATAAATGATTGATGTGTTCATTTATTTAGCACACAAGTTGTTTTCATGCCAGGTTAATTAAGCTCTGAATCCGTTTAAATCAGAAATAAAGAATAAAGAAAGAGTTTTAAAAGATTTCATCTTAGAATGACTACCTGTTTTATCATTCTAGACAAAATAATTATTATGTTCAACTCTTAATTGGCTTTGCCGAACCTCCGCCATTTATAAATATACTTACATTTTTTTTTTAAATCTGTACACAATTTTTATGTTAACGTGTTACGTATATAAGTCTAAATTTCATCGGGTCTCCAAAAATCGTTGTCATTGTTACGTTGTTAAAAAAAGACGAACTATCAAATAAAGACATACATCCAGTTCATTTTCACATCGCCGACATAACTATATTTTTATTTCGGAAATGCAACGAAAATATAATATGATTATACATGTAGAAACGAGGATACTAAACTAACATTTCATTAGAAAGTCGTGTGTGAAATTGTAAAAACTTAAGACGAATAGGAATTTAATGTTTATTGTTAAAAAAACATTTTATATTCATCAATCACTCCTGACTCCGATTTCCAAAATCCTCGACATTATTCAGTATTTGCGCTGATTTTCTCCTGGGAATGCATCAATAGTGTTTTGAATTCTAGCAGATTTGTTCAAAAGTTGAGGAAAACATTTAAGCAAAAGATAGCATGACATTTATTTGTCTTTATTAGGACGGAAAGAAAAATATCCTCAACGCACAATGACTCAAAACATAAACATTTTCATGTTACACCCTAGCGTCGAATGCATTAAAAATATTCTTTCTTTCGTCTCCATTCAAAATCTTTTGTGTTAAAAAATATTTTGGCATATAGATTGTAATTAGGTTATTGCCTATTACATTATATGCTATTTATAGATTATAAGGATGGCGTCTACATGTGCACATGATATACAATCTACCGGCTATTTAACATGAACTAAACAATGTGACAGGCAGAATATTTAGACCCGTAAACTGCTCGAGAGTTGCAGCCCGTCTGCATTCAACGAGTTTGAAAATAACCCGTGATGTGATGAAGTAAAATTTATTACTTTATGTCCAAATTATTTTCAGAGAAATGAAATGCTAAACGTGGCAAAATAATATCTACTTCTCAAACGCATTCGATATCATTTCGGGTTTCACTCGGATACGTTTGTTTTTAATAGTTTTGATATTTGACGGTACAAAATTGTAAATTAATGAAAACATATATTTGGATAACTAAACATATATTTGGACAACTGAAGTCCCAAAATAAAGACTGAATAAGGCACCGGTCAAAACATAACATGCTCAGTACGATTCTTTAAAACAAAACTATGGCTTGATTCTTAAAAAAAAGGTATTGAAATACTTTTTTTAAAACGAAATGCATATATACAATTAATGGATATACCAAAATAATAAAGTTATGTTTTAAATAAAATAAAACGGAGTCAAATGGCGTAATAGAATACTTTTTTTCCTTTTTAACATTTAATGAAACCAAGACGCCGGTTGCTGGATATACATGCATTAAATTATATAATTCAAGAAATTTGATTGGTTGCACCGAGTTACTTTAAACTTAAGCTACTCATATATAATATTTTTTGTGACATCACACATTTCGATATTGAAATAGGAATATCATTTGACCAAAAGCATTTCCCGGTTCATCTCTCGGTGAAGTACATGCCACATTCATAAAATATTAACATGCTAAACATGCTCAAATAGTCAGCTGAAACTGTTCAGACCTAACATTATTTTCAGGGTTTTTTTATTTCCCACAATTGCTACGCATACTTTGTAAGTGTGTCTCATATTGCCATAAGTGTTTAAAATTACAGATTTATCGCTTAATCTCCGTATGTCTGCTAATTATATGAAATGAAAATTTTAAATGGACATTAACAATTCATGTAATAAAGTGATTAATGGAAATGGTTTATCAAAGTATTGATGAGAAAATTACTATAAGTTTCTAGATAATGGTATAAAGTGACATATTTGTGCGGATATGAAGTAAGAATTGTAACTGATATAACGTGGCGTAAGTGATTAAACAATCTATAAGATTGCATTTATTGTAAACCAAACTAATATATTATTACAGTGTAAAAATGACTATAAATAATTCCCATTTTCATGGCTTTGAATTTATTTCTTCATGATCGTGTATGTTGTGCCATAACTATAGGGGTATTACATCGAGGCTTCCTTTTTACGAAAATACAAACATGTATGTTCACTAAGCAATATAACCTTTTTACCAGACTGCCTTTTTAAAGATGATAAATTCACTAACCGCGTGCTAAAGTAGCTCTTACAACTAAGCCTGCTGGGCAGTAAAAGATTCCACCCATGTGACCGGTCAAATAACGTAATTTTAAATTAATTGCAACATTGTCTTATAACTTAACATTACCTGAGAATCAAATGTTGTCACCTTGCAATATCCTACTTTGAAATCATCGTGAAATGCCCAAGGGACTCTTCAATCAATATCATTTGCTTTATGGTAGATGTAGAAATAGTTGACAGTATACTAACTGACTTAAGAACATCATAATTTATCGCAAATATCGTAATCCATTTGTTTAGAAATCACTGGAAAAATATCGATAGAATAATGAAATTAAAAACAACATAATATCTTAAACTGTTATTGTGATCAAAGGTCTTGGATTCAATTATCAGTGTAACGAATTTACGTTAAAGGCCATTCTCTCAAATCGATTTTACATTTAAAGCTGACAATTTAAAACATATGGGAAATTAACCAGCTATGAATTACATGCAGAATACATATAATATTCAGTTGAAGACCGAAAGGCAAGAGGAGGAATATTGTTAAACAGACTTTGATATCTGATAGAAATTATTGCGTGGATCAGAAACATTAACGTTACGCAAGGCTGAAAATGATCGTTTCCAGAGTGAAATCGTCAGATCTAAATTTGTCGGAACTGCGTTCACTAGTGTAATTTGTGATGAATGTGCTTTATCGAAAGGAAATTCGGAATTAAATACATCGTGATCATGTTGGAGTATTAAACGGTGCCTAGATCAATCAATTCTGTTATCTTGAGCTCTCCGGATGCCACATGCCGCGCTCTCAGTGATTTATTGAGTTACTAAATTCACGGGATATGTAAATGCTTTACTTAGGATTAATTTAATGTGAGTTTTGATTTTTTGTTACTTACGGTAATTAATAAGTTTAAATAATTATGTCTTTGGAATAATTTTAAGTAAATGTTATTAAATAGCTGTAAAACATTAAACATTAAAGACAAAATGTAAAAATATACTGATTTATGATGAATTGAAATGAAATAAATGGTCCGAACAAGTCTTAATTTTTCTTTACTTTTTATGAACGTTACGTTTTGATAAAATAGATTAAAACGGAATCCCTAGAGTATTCCTAAAATTGAAAATATTGCAGGCTCAGTTTGATTGAGCCTGGTCATGAATGGTAGGGGTAATTGCAAGACCCCTGGAGCCGACTTAAGCAAACTTGAACATTAAATCGGGAAAATGGTGCCATTTTTTTAAATCTAGACTTTCCATTTTTTTATTTATTTATTTTATTTATTTTTTTTCTTTAAGACACCTAACCTGAGTTATTCCTATGGACATTGATTTACTTAAAAAAACACAGACTGGAAACATAAGACGGTAATCAACAGAAATAAGAATAAATCTTTAATCAAGAATTATTTGTCACGTTTATTATTTTCAAATAGATACATAAGTTTGGGTATTTGCATAAATTATTAAATTCGAAAGCATCTTCATTGGAAAGAAATAGAAATAGAGAATTTTACAGTAAAGATAATAAATAAATAAAATAAATATACAAACTAAATGAAACTATCCGGAGAACTGTGCAAAATTTATGTAAATTCATATATCATGCTTTTGAGTAGAAACTAGATAATTTTAGTCAATTTTAGATGCTCTTCAGAAATTGTGAATGTTAAACAGTTAAATAAAAGCAATGTCTTTCTTTTGCTTTTCATGTATACCTTTCTATAAATATTTATATCAACTTTGTTAGAAGAATTTAATTTACTGTTCCGCAACATGACACATTTGATATATACATACACTTATCAAATAAAAATACTCCAGATAAAATATCAAACTTACACATTTTACCGACTGATAACGCTGTACACATCAAGAAAATAAATAAGTGAAAAAATCATTGTATCTTGCAGCTATACTTTGGTATACACTATTTAATTATTGAAAAACAGATGTTAGACGCGCTTTGATATATTTACATTAGTATTAAAGCTATACTTTCAGATAAGTAAAATTTATATGTAATGAAATATGTATGATTTTTTGTTTGCTTAAGACGCCTCTTCATACTGTTTTACATAATTTAGTATCATATTCAAAAAAATGAACATTATAAAATTTTAGAATCTAATTTCATTGATTTTACATTCATCATAAAGTCAGATTTATTTCAATATAAAAATATTATTTCGGTACATTTAGATGGAACAAAGCTTCATTAAATAATAAAAAGAGCTCAATTTATTTGATTTTACGACCTGGATGCATGATGAATCGTGTCTTTTGCAAATATTTTAGGAATAGAAGCAAGTCTAGACATTGGTATGAAACTGAATAGAAAATGGAATACAACGATATTTCGAAATCAATTGTTTTATAAAAACAATTATACTCGTACATCTTTAATGACGTTATATATATGAATCACATACAAAATTTTAATAATAGTCTTATCTATAAAATGTTATTGTTGTGTTTTTTTTATTTGTTTTTGTTTTCTTTAAAATTATATTATTTTCTGCTTTCTTTTGTTTAAATCGCTACTTTTATTATATTTATTTTTCAGTACTAGTATCATAATATCTTCTTGTATATTTTGATCGTAGTGTCGCAGTCAGTACATTTAGATTTTTCTGTTCAATACCCGATATGCCTCAGAAATGCTATCATTTTTATTTTTCAAAAACTTTTTTATTTTTAGTATCTTGTTACAGTTTCCAAAAGTAGTATTTTGCCATATACGTAAACTATCTGCTGCTGATTCTTTTATGTTTTAATTATAGTGAATTAGTATTTTTATGGCAGTCAAAATACTACTTAGTTTACATTTTGATTCCTATACAACACATTACTGCATATTCAGCGCTACTTCTTCAGTTGTTAAACATCTAACATGCTCTTAATCCTTAGTCAAAACATTGTTTTACAGTTGTTTTGACATTTCTAATGAATTAGAAAAATATGGATTTTCGAGGCATAATGCGCCTTTAAAGCACAAACTTTTTACCTGTTAAATAAATTAATGAAAATTTAATATTTTTATGCACACCAATATATGCATTGATAATATCTGTTGATTATTATATATTCACGAGCGAAAAGCTCTGTAGAAACACCAGCTTGATATCATCCGTACATACACTTATCTAGAGCCCCTAGCAACATGACAGATTTAATACAATAATTGATTTAAGATAAAGGTAAAAGAACCTGTCTCTCATATTACAATAATAGCTAAGATGCATTGTCGTTACAAAGCAAGTTGAACGTGTATTTAAACCCATTCAAAAACACACACACAATGTTGTTTTCTAACCCAGGGTTTGTGTGTTCGATCCCTTACATGTACATTTTGTGTATTTGTGTCCTGAGTTGGTACACCTAAGGCCAGGGGGCGGTTTCAAAGGGAGTGTCTTAATAAGCTTGACTGATGCCTTCCTCACAATCCATCTTAATTCTGGAATTAAAATAATGATTAATAATACTATCTCACAAGAATGCACTGTAAATATATTTTCTTTTTACTCTTAAATGTTACTTTTGTTTACTGAGTGATTCTCAATTAGTCTTCAAATTTTAATCAACTGCTAAGACTATGGATCAAATTAATAATAAAACCATTTTGTTTATTATTTTGAATTTCGATAATTAAAGTTAAAAAATAAGAATGGAACTTTATTTGAAAATTAGTGAAAAACTATCATGTTATAAAAAAGCACTGATTAAGTTCATATTTTATGTTAACATTGGAATAATGATCAATATCCGGGCAGATAAACATAAGTCGGCTGATTTTATCTTGTATATTAACTTTTAGTGTTTTGCATATTTGTGTACCTAGTTGTTTTGATACTTAAGCCTGCCCACCTTATGCCAAAGGTTCATGTTTTCGCGCAGGTAAAAGCACGCCTTAGACACTGGATACCGGCCGCCGATTAGAAAATTTGATTAACTTATTATAAGCGCATTACCCAGTAAAGGTTGTAAGCACACTATTCATTTCCGATTTAGCATTAAATGTTGTGCATATATATGACTAAATTTCATGCAATTAAAGTTTACATATATTATTGATAGAAAAATGCTTTAGAAATAAGAATACAATAAAATGGTAAAATATTTTTAAAATTTGGGGTATTTAACCACCCTTTTCTCGCATTGGTTTCTGTCTATTTTCATAAGAACATTATATGTAAATTGCTAGTATATTCTATCAACAGTTGTTTTTATTTTTATTATTATTATTATTATATTTATTATAATAATTATAATAATAATTACATGTATTTGTATTATTATTATTATTATTGTAATATTTATAATTATTATTATTATTATTTAATATTTTTATCATCATTATTTTTTTTTGAAAAACCCATAGTGAGCTGCAGGAAGCATTTAATATATTTGAAACTATCAAACAATCATGTCTTGTAATAAACTTTGATATTTTAGAAAGCTATCAGAATCATGACAGGTGTTCCACAGCCGGTGGTTATCAGACTTTGTTTATCTCATAAATAAACTTCTATCTTAAGATGTTTTGGCCCTAATCTTTATAACTGGTCAGTATATTAGAGAATTAACTTAGTATAAACATACATAAAGACTTCTAGATTAGTTTATCCTAATAATATTCAAGGAATTCGCTTCGGTTCTATAAACAATAAGCTCAAATAACCAATTTATCATCAATCAAGTTTCCGGGCAATCGTATTTATTTATCACATATACTGAATGCAGAATCCACTTGTAGATTCAATATAGAAACAAATTCTTGTATAAGAAAATGAACTTATACATTGATGAAAAGTGTATGGTTTTTACCCCTTGTAGAGTCAAACTTATTTGTATAACAGGTTTTTAAGTTTTAAAATTGTTACGATTGTTGTATGGATTACAATATCAATATAATAAAATGCCCCTTTTGCGTTTGCTTGTCCGTTATTGTCCATTTGTTTTAGTGAGTTTATTCCCATTTCATTTTTTTCATTTTTGTATATTTTTGTTATTGTTTTTATTATGCCCTTTTTGTACAATATAAGATAAATTGTTTCTTAAATAAATCTTAAAAGGCACAGTATATTATCCTTTTGAAATATAAATGAACATGAAGAACACATATCTGACAATAGTTTTAATAACAAACACTCGATTTTCTATTTTTTCGGGAATTTCGTTTTCTTTGTGTTAAAATCACTTTACGTAATTCAAAGAAATTGTATATTATCATATCAGAAAAAAATGGTATCTAAAGAAATAGTTACCAAAGCTTAGTTTTTCGCGTAGGGGAGAGTCTCCCTTTCTATAGGCATAGTCACTTTTAGACACTTTATCTTGCTGTACGAGGCATATTCGTAATTTAATGAATCAAAGTAAATACACAAAATCATTACTCTCGATCGCTGTTATATTTTAACTTTATGGTGTACTCGAGTTTCTTCCCGTGACTTTAAACTCTCAAGAATTGCGATTTTTTTCTGATTAATTTAAAAGCTGGAAGATGGTTTGAACGTATTAAAATTCCCGGAAATGTCTTCGATACTACAAGATTTAATCAAATTAAGAAAACTCATTCAGTTCCCCCTCGAGACCGTTTTGTATCTATTTCTTGAACTTGAAAGCAGGAAATGAAAATAACACTTCTTTTAAAACTATTTTATGTTACAATATATATAACAGTGTGTAAACATGTACGAGATTGTCTGTAAATGAAAGTTTGTTGAATGACATGGCATTTGTATTTACTCAGCTTCAATTTCATTGTTTAAAGAACTGAGACGTTCAAGAAGTGAAATCAAATTATATTGTTTTATGGATAAAACACATATATTCTCTCATTCAAGTGTTTTTTTTTATTTCCTAGAGAAGAGATGCAATTTCTTTCATACCGGATTTTTTTTATAGATTTTTATCGTTTTTCGAAAGTATGGCCAGTACTTAAAGATAAAAAATAGCAAATTTCATTATCTCAGATTCTTCAAAACAATATTTCGTCCCTTATCATGTGTTTCTTTTTTTTCATTATTATTATTATAACATGTATTATTATTATTATTATAATTCTTTATTTATTTATTTATTTATTTATTTATTTATTTATATTTTAACGTGTGTATATTTTTGCGTGGTTTAAATAAGATAATTTGCTACCGTTGTGTCATTTCTTTCGAAATTGAAAACTTATACCATTGAAAATATTTATACTTTATTAATTTCATTTACTTACATATTAATTTCATTTTCTTGTAAGTACATTTTTTAAGATTGTTCTATCTATATAAACTGTGGACTATGTTTTGACCACAATTAATTTTTATAAAAGGTCAAACTATTTTTAATGTCAATTTAATACAAAATGGAAATGATGACTTTTATGCTCTTAATTCAAACGTATTTATATGTTCTAAAAGCTTAATCATTTATTTACTTTTATCTAACGACACAAACTGATATAAACGACAGTTAAACAAGCATTTGCCGATTTTACACGAACCGTTTTACAAATTAGCAAAATCCCGGGGGAAGTTGTTTCGTTCAACTTAATCATCATATTTTTCCATAATTTGTTTTAATTGCGTTGTGATAATGGTAAGTTGGCAGTTATGATCTGTGGTCGATATTTTATGATGCCAATATCTGTATATCTTTTAATTACATTATATTCATCGAAAATAGGAGAAAAATAGTCCCGCAAGGGTACCAAATACGACCTAATTACATATATGACAAAGAAGTAGTTCTGGAAGCTAATGAGTTAAATTATTAAATAAATTAGAATGTGATTACTTTTTTTATCATTACCACGCTAAAAATCTTTAATTTGACTCGTCAAATATGTTTTATTTCATTAACACTTACAATATAAGTACTGACTTAAATTTCGAACAGTGTAGACCATGACAAGACCGGTGGATCTTTTTCTACACTTCTCGCATAGGATTAATCTTTTTCTACAATTCTCGCATAGGATAAATGCCACTGACGGTGGCAGAATAAGGGTTAGAAAATTTGTAAAATGAACTGAATAAAAACCTACCGAGACACGCTATATACGAGATATTATCACATGTTCATTATTAATCAATGCCATTTGGGGATATTAATATTGAATCAAAATGTATCGTTGTAAAAACACACTTTTTATTTTTAAGCACATAACGACAAATTCTTCGATTAAAAGGGCAAAAAGATAGTCATTACATTTATTCAATCAATACCGCTTTATTTTAAAATGCGTCGAGTTTAAAAGTCTGCACCCAAGTGCAACAATGCTCTTAGTATGCTATCAGTTCAAAAGTTGCAAATATAGCTATTGCCGTGCCATGTTAAACCAATACTCCCCACAGGGTTTGAACATGAATGAGACGCCATTAAGTTTTGTAACAGTTCGCAATGATTCTATATCAAATGTCTTTTCAGTGCCATTTTTAATAATAGCTCATGTCAGTTTGTGATATCAATGCAAAAGCATGTTTATTTCACATCAGAAGCATACAGTGTAAAGGAGTGTGCGTCCAGTTAAAAATTGAAGTGGCATTATGCGCATTAAGATGTAAATGGTGGATGCACAGGTCAAAAGAAGTTGACATTCTTTTTTTCAATAAATGTGTTAAATTTTGTATTAGACTGTACAAAAATAACAGTAATCTGCGGGAACCGCGTATATTTTTATAAATACCGTTCGGAATGTATTTGTAACGTTCATTCTTTTTAAAAAAAAGTGGATCAGTTTTTTATTTTTCTAGTCAACATTTTTCATTATCAATTATTAATTAGCTACCATAATAAAAGTCAATCGCTTGAAATAATATTACTAATTCAACTCAACTTGAAAGTGAAATACTGAGAATTAAGTCACTTCAACTGTGTGTGCACATGGTAATGTTTCGCTTTAGTAATGTTTAAAATAATGTATTGATTATCGATACTACAATAGAAATTTGAAAAATACTGTTTGATTAATTATCAAATACGTTTTTATATGTCTATTTTCAACTTTTGAATATATTGATTACAAACGGAATCAATATATTGTTCTATTACAGGAATAGATAGTCCAGAAAGGTTTATAAACCACAAATCAGTAAAATTATTTCAATAACAATTGTTTACAGAGGAAATATTAATAGATATTTGCATAAATGGCTTAAAACAATAACGTAATTACGCACTTTTTTACAGTTTTTTTCTGTTTTGCTATATAAGAATCTACGTATATATGCAAACTTGCCGTACAGCATTAGTGTATTACAAAGTAGAACTTAAAATTTGGAAGAATCTTTTAGATCCAATACAGGTGTATAAGAAGAATATAAGGATCTTGCACCGGCTTCCGGTACAGACCGGAATATCTAGCTTGATGGTAACTATTAACGGCGGTAACAAGGCTCTGTTGAGTTTTTGTTAAACATTACCATAGAGCAAAATATGCAACGCTGGTGTTGACTTCATTTTTCTTGCATATTACATATTTATTATAATTTGGGAAGAAGTAACGAAAACTAATATATTCATAAAGCATCTTTTTCGTTTTTTTTGTAACGTATGCATTAACGGCAAATGACAATCATTTTAAATTGACATCATTTGGAAATTCATTCATAAAAGGCGATCGGGGACGAAGTCATTTGAAACACGTGATTTGTCTTACAGGGTGTAAGACAGGGTTTTCTAGCACCTGTGTAAACTGGAGAGAATTTTGTATGATATGCAAGAATAGAACAGATTGAATTCAAATCTGAATTAACGTCCACAATGGCAAAATATAAAATGCTGCAGACTCTGTTCCAGTTACTCAGTTCTGAGATAGTATTGGTAAATGCAAGCTACAATCCAAACACGCTAGCACCGCCTTAACCAGAAGTCAACTTTTTGATGTGTACAATGTAATGGTATTAGTTTAGAAATTAGATTTGATGTATTAGTTTGATTAATTGCAATAACATCTTCAGTGATTCAAATGTGAGCAAGATTACTTAGCATTTATAATTATAATAATGATAAGTTTAAGAATTGTTTCGACACAGAATCATACCTATAATCATTTATGAGGTAAACGCACCGAAATGCTCATATATTAAAACGTAGGAAAGCCCAGATATCAATGGGAAATCATGTTATTGTTTATGGAATATAGCCTCCAATATTTGAACAATAGTCATTTTCCTTACCATTACTTCTAAATTATAATGATTAAATGATATGTAAAAGATTTAAGAAAATGTTTAGGTCGTTATGGGAGGGATTTATGATATTTATCAATAAACTGGTGAAATATTTAAAACTAGTGTTCTGTTACATATTTGTATGATAAGCAATTAAGCACACCGATGCTTTGAAAGTTTATATCAATACATACTCGTAATCACTAGGCGTAAAAAATATTGTTAACGAAGCTGTAAATTTTATCTCGGTATTATGACTGTCAACAGATTTCATAATATTTGATGATGTCAGTTTAAAGTATCGAAATATATTAATATCCGGAAAGTTGTTTTACTCGAAAGATTGTTATAAAAACGAATAGTTGTTATTGACTATTTTCACTTTAATTAAGATGTTGTTTTAACATTAAAATGTCTCAATTATTCATTTGTCCTTCGACTTTTGACTATTAAAACCTTTCCGATATAAACTAAAACGAAATATCTGAAAGTTCATTATATATTCTTGATTCAAATGAACCGACGTTCAATTAGTTTAGTAATTGCATGATCATAAAATTCGTCCTCATTATTAGAGTTGAAACATCTAAATGCTTTCAGTGTTTGAAAAACTATTGCATCTTACCGTGTTATACAGACATAAAATAAAGAATACTATTGTTTTATATCACATATTTGCGTGTTTGCATGTTTTTACGAAAAGAAACATTTTCATTTAATCAATTTTTCTCATTATCTGGAAATAGATGATGCAAAATTCAGTTCTTTATTTAAAATAACAGTGTTGGCCAGAGCAGTTCGTGAACATTACATTATTATCTGAACGTGTACTGCTTACTTAAGTTTTAACGAACATTATATCAATCTAATAACCAACTCTGGACGTGCACACTTTTTGATATATCGTAAATAAAGCTGAGTAACTGAAATTGAAATTGTATTATGTCTGAAAACGGAATAATTTTAAATTTCCCCAAAACGTTACCAGTTATTAAGGATTAAAATCGAACTTAAAATTATTCAACACTCGGAATTTATCACTGACAAAAAGAGAACTTGATGTATTTTTATATATACATTTTATACCAGAAGTCTAAAAGAGCTACGGATAAACTAGATTTGATCAAAAAGGAAACACGGTGATAATCAAGCAAAATGTGTTGTTTTAGTTACAACATGATTCTCGTATACATTTTGAAGTAAATGGACATAACCAAATGAGTATATCTTATGTAAAACAAAAGCATAAAATTTGAAAAGATAAATGATGCCCACGGAATTCAAGTACAATAATTTGAAACACAATTAAGATTAAGGTTAAATTATGGCAAACATATGAATAAGAATAATGGATTATATTTATTCCCAACTTCTAGATGTAAGGATATTCATGTATGCTTAATTTACCGCACGTGTCACGAGTTGACACGTTCGTATGATGTTTTCCCTACTGCATAAATAAAACATTTATTCAATATTATTCATGAACGTTTCCATCTTCTTTTACAGGCAGACGTTTTGAGAGAGATTGCCGATAACGCTGAAAGAGGAATTAACATTTTGCCCAGAGAAGAGACGTTTAAACGTTAATAGCTTAACAGTCCTGGAAAAACGTTAATAGATTATTGTATTTTAGGACGTTTCCTCCAAATCGTTCTCTTTTAATGTGTCGTGAACCTTTACCTTATGTAATTATCAAGGGCATAGTGCTTTGGAGATGAAGATTTCGATTCATCTGTAATTGGAACGTCCTTTAATGAGGCATATAAGTGGAATATGAATTGCTGAATTAATTTAGATAAATCCATGGATAATAAATGGTTTTACTAAGTTGGCCAATTGTGAATTTCCACCGCATTTCACACATCTCTTTATTACGGAAATTATTGTGCAGAACGATGTGAGCTTTGCTGAGCAATTACTTTGGAACTGTTTGTTCGATAAAAACTTATAGAAACTGGTGAATATTCATTACCTGATCGTTTCGTTAAAGTGAGTGTGATCAACATTCTAGCTATCTTGAAACCCGTCAAGGATAAGGATATTTATTATCATATATAACCATTCCCAGCACGACCTCAATTAAACCGGGAATTTGCGGCTTCATTAGAGGAATTGCATTGCCTTGAAGACAAATCACCGCGCCTAATTGATGCAATTTAGCAAACACCGCTCTGTCGCCTTCGTCTCAAAATTGTTTAATTAACGACAGACCCAATAGTGCTTTCTGTAAGAAAAGGCAAAGTGGTGAGAAAGCCAGCTTCATTGTTTTAAATTGCTTTAGACGGATTTCTGACAGCCATGGCGTAATTACGGTGACTTAAGGATTCTTTATCACGCCAGAGAAAATTGTTGTAGGGATTTAACGTTAAATTTAAAGCTTTTAAGTAGACGTTAACACCAAAAGGGATAGAGATGGGATCGCCGGAGTACACGACTTATCCAATTTCTGTAAATACTATTCTTGGAAATACTTCAGATTCATTTATGCATATAGAAAATGTGACGGACAGTGCGACCCAAGACGTTTCTGATCTAATGAAATTTCAAGAAAAATATGCTCGCATTCATGGTTACGTAAGTGTGTGCGTATGTTTGTTCGGATTCTTAGCAAATATTGCTAATATAGTCGTGTTAACGCGAAAGAATATGATTACGTCAACTAACGTCATTTTAACGTGGCTGGCTGTTGCCGACTTATTCACAATGTTAGATTATTTCCCATTCGCCATGCATTTTTACATTTTAAAGGACCAAGACTTGCAATTTCCAAGAACTCGCGGTTACGGGTGGATAATCTACCTTCTATTTCATGCAAATTTCAGTGTTGTCTGTCATTCTTGTGCAATATGGCTGACGATTGCGCTGGCTACATTTCGATTTGTTTGTATTTGGTTTCCAACACGCGGTAGCACATACTGCACAGTGATGAAAGCAAGGCTGTGTGCGGCCATTATATTCTGTTCTGTTGTGATACTGTGTGTTCCGAACATGATCATTAATGACATGGCGACTACGAAAAGCAATGTATCGGACGGAAATATTACAAAACAAGATACTGTGTACGATGCAGTCTATAGAGAAGGCGGGGCTTATCTACATATTGATAAGCTGAATAAAATGATACAGGCTATCCTTTTTAAAATCCTTCCTTGCTTTTTACTAACTGTGTTAACAATTTTGCTGGTAGTTGCTATGCATAGAGCGTACAAAAGACGAATGGCCTTAAAGAACCAAGGACGACGAGAAGAGTCCGACAGACACGGGGAACATAACAGGACAACCGTTATGCTTTTAGCTGTTGTTGTCCTGTTTTTGCTGACAGAGTTACCGCAAGGAATTCTAACAATCATGGGCTTGATTGAGGAGAAGTTCTTTTTAAACGTGTACCAACCGCTTGGAGATATTCTTGACATCATGGCACTGTGCAATAATGCAATAAATTTTGTTCTTTACTGTACTATGTCAAGGCAGTTCCGTGATACATTTGTGTCCACGTTCTGTTGGTTTTGCCCGAAGTCAAAACCGGGATGGATGAAAATGAAACTTGTAAATTCAAAGGCAACACAGAATGGCAATACTATGATGACGGAACATACCCATGTATAATGATAAATTCAGTTTCTGTAAGAGCAGCTATGCCTTTTTTTCAATAATATGTATATATGCGAATATTTTCAACATAGAATTAAATACAAATGTATACCAATTCAACAAATGGTAGACTTTAACACTGAGGACCCGCATCGTAAAGGTTTATTTCTGGTTTGAGTGCAAATTCAATACACACTTACGGTATGATTTCTGGGGATCAGTTAAGTTTGTTGATTTAAGCAGTAATAAAAATTACTCTGAAAATACTATACTGTTAGACGATGCATTGTAACCATTTGTAACATTTAGGACCTTTTTATAGCAACATGTGGTACCTATTGCCAACTTAAACAGGCTAGAAAGATACATTGGAACTTTGAAGCATTGGTATTCATTATAATAACAAAGTGTGGTTAAACACACTCCAAACCGCTAGTGAAATTGTATATAATGCACTTACTGTAACATCATCAGAATAGTTCTGTTCTGTTCTGTAACATCATCATCACATCGTTAAGCATGTCTGATTTATTGCATAAATGTTGAATTGTATGGGTTTATATATTATAGAGAATATTAAATGAGTGTAGATTAAATACTATTAAACGGCCAAAGTAAAGAAAGTTTGCAGTTTAAAAAGTCAACGTTTTCGTTGACGTACCAAAGGTGTAACGCTAACATTAGGACATTAGGGCGCTTAAACGCTATGTTTGTATAATATCGTTATCTATTAATTAGAGGTTAATACACGATAAAGTAAGGGCCGGAATATGATACTCGGACTGGAAAATGAATAATGGCCCCGATTTTAATACTTAAAATAAGAATTTTTGTACGTTTAACGTTTTTTTCATAGGATAATTGTGACGTTAATATAATCATATTCACGGCTGCAGTTGATTTATGAAGTAATTTCTTGTCTTTTTTAAAATTAGTTAAGGAAATTTGCAGGATTATAAATTGTTAAAAACATTCTTGACATGTTATATGACCCTATAAACAATGTTATTTGGAATACAACCCTCGCCCCCACGGTGCGGGTGATATACACAAACAACCATTAAAATAGCACCATATAGTCTGTCAAAATCATTATAATTAGTAGTATTTATTTTTCTGATCATTTTGACTAACGAAATAAACATAAACAAAATCATCATAATCAATATTTTAAGTGATGTAAGTGTATACATGTATATATGAATTAAGGCGAGTAGAGTGATATTGTTATACTAACATGCTTGTTCAATTTAACATTTTATTTTCAATAGACTGTCATTTTCACACGCACCATACTTCATAAAGTATTAAACATTTAATAGTACTTAAATTTGTTTTAATATTTCAAAATCATGTTATTTTAATATTTTACATAACACTTTCGGAAAAATCTTTATTTATTTATTTATTTATTTGTATGGAAATGTTCTTTCTGGATTTGTTGTGCAAAAAAACTGCAATAACATAAATAATAGCTCTATGGAGTTTTCAAGACCATTAAGAAAAACGTCCATGCCTTGTAAAAAGCCGAACTTATGATGTCGTACATGTTAATACAATTCGGGTGTGTTTCATGTTTATTTATAAGTATATAAATAATAAAGTGACATTATGCACATTGTTTTCACTTGTCAAGTTGACTCGAATTAATTATTTGTATATACTCGTACATATTTACTTGGCCTTTAAATGATTATGAAGAAAGTTTATGATAGAATATAAAAACTATCTAACTTATAAAAAGACTGACCACTCTTTGGAAAAATTGAATGTGCCCAGTTCATACTAGAAATGTCCGTGGGTCACCTGGATATTTTTGCATAGTAAAAAATATTATTTTAAAACAATTAAGGCAAAATGTAAAGTAATTTTGACATTAACCCTTGCACTCACCATTTACACTCGCATAGGCAAAATGTCACTTTATATAATTTAGTTTTACATACATGTTTTGTGTGATTCTAATGGAGGAAAACGTGTGGTGTTGTTAATATATTTGAAGGTATAATATATCATTTCATGTTTAGATCTCGAATTACAATTTTCTGCATAAAAAGACATTGATATATGTTAAAAGAAACTACCGGTAAACAATTATCATTTTCAAATCAGTCTGACAGAGTTGTTATATCATAACAACACGTGTTATATAATAACAACACGACGTAGTGTTATATAATAACAACACGTGTTATATAATAACAACACGTTACAAATACATCTGTTACTCCCATACAGTCTTTCTTTGCACAGTATCATGCTCGTGTATTAGCTTTTGTCGTGTGTGATCACGTGTTTCCTTTTTTAGATTAAATTATTTGAAGAAAATTTTAAAAAAAGATTGGCCGCGAATGAGGCATTTTTTAAATCCCAATTCAATTTAAAAATACATTTAATTTACACTTATTAAATACAAACAGTGTAATGATTGCCCAGAACATTCGTAAATTTCGATACAATATTTGAATTTGACGGAAAAGTAAGAAACATAAGTTTGTATTGTTGACAATGTCGACGAGATCGCCCCTTTTTACTTATTGTTCAAACAAGAATTTAGACGGCGTTGTTTTGTTTAGCGTTTTTATTAATAAATATTCAGTAAAAGATTTAAAAGCAAAAACATATCTTTTTATATAACCGATTTATTCTATTATTGCTTAACATCACCTTGTCATGTGTGTATTGAATTGGGGCTGTTTAAGTAATACTAGCATTAATACGTTAGATTATGCAAATTTGGTTCTGTATTATTTTATATACTTAAGTTATATTAATTTATGTTTGATTATTTTATGTTGAGACTGAACAGCAAATAAGTCATATTCTGTAATATTTCAATAATTGTCTTAAATATGTTTTGTAAGTAAAGCGTTTGTAACGATTCATTTTTTCAACGGATTTTTGTTTTACCTTCTTTTCTTGTAGCTATTAATGTTTATACAAAAAAAAGAAAAAATCCCGTAGGAAATATACATATTATGTGTGGTTTAATATTTAAAATACATACTGTATTTAGGTTACTCTCCAGCTTAAGGTTCATAGTAACACCTAAGAGCCGCGTCACGACAAAACCAACATAGTGCGTTTGCGACCAGTATGGATACCAACCTGCGCATCCATGCTGGTCACAAACGCACTATGTTGGTTTTGTCGTGACGCGGCTCATATTACCGTGAAAAGTCATAGTACAGACATTTTGCTTATAAGAGTTTATATCTCGTCCGAATGTATTTTTCTGGGCTATTCTGTTCTTAATATGACATCATTAATTCAAATGTTAACCGATTAGAAATATATAATTGGTAATAAAAAGGACTTTTATATGTTGAAACATTTTTAGAAAAAAAGCAAACGTACAAAAAATGACCGGTAAGCGTTTGCCAAAAGATCTTAAGATTTGGTTGCATCGTTTTATTTTCTTGTTAAATACTTATGAAGTGATATTTAATTTTGTGGATAAGTTGATAAATTGTGATACATTTTTGCTATGTGCAAGACTTTAGCAATATTCATATTCATATTTCAGTTACGTACGATTTTGCTTTTGCAGGTTCGTTATACTGACGATAGTCTTAATATGCGTTAAACTCGAATGTTATAAATATTGTTGTGTTGCTATTTATGAATAATTTTGTTTATGTATCATACATTATATATCATATATGAGTACATGGCATAATGGCAAACTATGTGTTATATAGTGGTGGTTATATTTCGTAGTATTATGAATTCCTGGTGATATAGTCCTGTTGCCTAGATGTGCATATCATCTAAATTTGAGCCGTGCCATGTCAAAACCAACATAGTGCGTTTGCGACCAGCATGGAACCAGACCAGCCTGATGCGCAGTCTGATCAGTATCCATGGTGTTCGCTTACAAACCCTATAACAAGTATAGAAACTGATAGCGAACAGCATGGATCCTGATCAGAATGCGCAGGCTGGTGTGGATCCATGCTGGTCACAAACTCACTACATTGGTTTTGTCGTGACGCGGCTCAAATTGTTTTGTATTTGTTTGAGATAGTCTTTCCTTATGTAGAGTATCGCTGACCACTTCTCCGAAAATGTATATTTTATCACTGTTTTAACTGTTATTTGTGTCATCACATACATTCTGTAAGTACAACATCATATCTAGTGATTAGATTAAACAATAAAAACGTTGTAAAATAAAACAACTTGTTGTTATTGTGTTTCCATTTTTTCATTTGTTATATTTTCATGCATAATCCTATTGACATGTTTTTCTACATTGAGATATGCCATCCGTGCCGTCATATTACAGTCCATAACCTGTCAAAATGGTAGAAAGTGGTGAAGGCATCTGTGTTCTGTGGACATATTTCTGCTAAACAAAAAGTGTTGAAATAAATTTGATATAGAAATGTCTATGAAAAGCACGTGTTAAATGAAACTGATTTTCGAGCTAAGATTTGAAGCTGTTGAATCTTAGTGGCTTCAGAGTAATTGTACACATCTGATATGTTATAGAGCTATGTAAGAAAAAAAGAAAATGTTTATTTATACGTTTAAAAACGTTCGTAACGTTTCTTTTTGTCCAACATTATTTGTACTGAACGATATTTAGTGCAACAATACATTATATGTAGACGATTCAAATTGCAGAAATAATTGACAAAGCTGTCTCATGATTATAATATATCATTGTTATAATTTCTTCCTTTATCAAACGTTTTATTTTTTTTTCTATTTTATCCGTATAAATTTGTGTAAGAGAATATTTCAAATTTTATAAGCGTTATCTAAAAATAAAACTTTATCTGCACAGATATCGATTAAACGCATCACAAAATCAATATATGATAATGAATCTGAATTATATGGTGGCTGATTTGTGCCATTCGTGATTTCGCACCGCGCCTCTGCCATTTTAATTCTCGACTTTTTGCTCGGCGGGGTCGCGTGACGACAAAACAGAAGCACAGGACGATTTTTTTTTCTTTTAAACTGCGCCTTGCTTATTGCCATTTTTTCGTTCCGCACTATTACACTTCGTCCCGCGCCCTCGCTTATTAGCGTGTTTTCGCTCCGCATCTCGCCATTTTAACATGTTATTCTTGTCTTTTCGCTTGTCGGGGTCGTGGGGCGAAAACACGAATGGCACAAATCAGCCACCATAAAAAAAGGTTTTTTGTTTTATTTGTTTGTATTTGCCTAGATTGATACGCCGAATTTAATATATTTTTTGTCTTATCTCGGCGAGTAGTTTACACACTGTACCTTACACGTTTTTTCAGGATAAGTAACCAGTAAATACGTAACTTTCATTTCTGATTCACCGCTGAGAAACACAAACGACTCAATATTATTCGAGGTTAAATGTCACGGAGAACTTTTGCCCTGACCGAAGATCGAACTAGCAACTATTACTAGTCCGAAGCTCTAAGCCAGATACCCTAAATTTAGGTTTAATATTTCGTGAAAAAAAGCTAAACACGTTTCATTTTTCTCTATGGCATTTGGTGTAAAAATGTAACTTAAAAAGAGAGATTAAGATATTGATGTCGCGTGCTGTGTTCCATTCAAATCTATAAAACAATTTTATTGTTTAATTTTTCCGGAGAGACGAATGATTGTTGTTCTTTTGCCGATATTTTGAATAAAAAGCGAGTAATTTGATACTGCTTGAGAAGAGCACTTCTACTTAAATGCATTCAAAACGTTTAATTAAATCTAATGAAAAAAACAATACAAAAAATAAAATAGAATATTCAACAAAAAGCATTAGCGTTCACATAATTTATCACATAGAGGTTAATAGAATATTTTTTATTAAACTAAATTTTTTGGCAAATCGTATAACAAGAAGCAAATTCGTTGAATTTATATCAGTGCTGGTTATTACTAACACAACATCTGAAGACATAAGGCTTTATTTATCATGGCATAAACAATAATATTCTTTGTACTTGATAAATATTCAGGACAATAACAGAGTCATAACTCTGTGTTAAATAGTAATATCTGGAAATGCCCATGAGATGTATGCATACTGCATAACTAATAAAGGGCCATAACTATGAGTTTAAGTGTCTAACAGGAACAATGCGATGATATGCGCATCTCCTCTTGGTATTGCATAATCCCATAAAGTTTCATTGAATTCCAGCGAGTAGTTACATAGAAGTAGCACGGAAACGATTATTGCTCTGGTTGTATATCAAGGGCCATAACTCTAAGTTAAAATGTCTGACCGGAACAAGGCGACGATATCTCGCTTCTCCTCTTGGTATTGAAGGTTCCCATAAAGTTTCATTGAATTCCAGCCAGAATATGCAGAGAAGTAGCGCGGAAACGATTTTTACTCTATGAGCATACTGCATAATTAATCAAGGGCCATTGAGTTTAAGTGTCAGACCGGAACAAGGTGACAATATGCGCATCTCCTCTTGGTATTGAAGGTTCCCATAAAGTTTGGTTGAATTCCAGCCCGTAGTTGCAGAGAAGTAGCGCGGAAACGATTTTTACTCTATGAGCATACTGCATAATTAATCAAGGGCCATAACTCTGAGTTAAAGTGTCTGACCGGAACAAGGCGACGATATGCGCATCTCCTCTTGGTATTGAGATTCCCATAAAGTTTCGTTGAATTCAAGCCAGTAGTTGCAGAGAAGTAGCGCAGAAACGATTTTTACTCTATATGCATACTGCATAACTAATCAAGGGCCATAAGGGTCTGACTGGAACAAGCCGACGATATGCGCATCTCCTCTTGATATTGATGATTACCATAAAGTTTCGTTGAATTCCAGCCAGTAGTTGCAGAGACCTAGTGCGGAAACGAAATTCGGACGGACGGAAGGACGGACAACGCCAAAACAATATCCCCCTCCCGATTCCATCGACATCTTATATATCAAACTTACTCAGGTGCTAGGGGGCGTGGACGGTAACTTGCATTTTCCAGTACCGTCCATGAACAGGCTCAATCAAACCGAGCCTGCAACATTTTCAATTTTGCCGTGTTGGGCTTTCTTTAGGGATTCTGTTTTTCTCTATTTTATGGTCACATAAGTGTTATTTGTGCCGTGTGGCGGCCGTAAAAAGTCTCCCCGTACATTTAATCAATGATGTTATATTTTCGATCCTTGAAGATCGTTCAGCACGACATTATTGTTGTGCTTGTGGTATTTTTAGTTTCAACTTTTTGGCACTTTCTAGTTGGGTGGTTCCAATATTCCTACTTGAATAATGTTGAATCACCCTTAGGATATGTCGCCTGCTTTTTAAATTTGTCTTTTGACGTGCTATCTGTGATACGCAGGCTTCATAGCCTCGGGTCCCCTTTCGGGATTCCGTTTTGTTTAGTTCCGCCCATTGTTTTCTCGTTTAGGGCACACGCATTTTTTTACTTGGGGACCATATGTCGCTTTTCATGGAATGGCACTGAAGTGTCACATTGAAGGTTCCATGATAACCGCCATATGAACACATCTGCGGATGTTTCAAAATTCTAAATTTTACCAGTTCATGTTAAATGTTGAATTCTGCTTAAGCCGGTGCTAGGGGGCGTGGACGGTAACTTGCATTTTCCAGTACCGTCCATGAACAGGCTCAATCAAACCGAGCCTGCAACATTTTCAATTTTGCCGTGTTGGGCTTTCTTTAGGGATTCTGTTTTTCTCTATTTTACTATTTAATTGCTATTTAACTGTAATTTTTACTTCATTATTTCGTACAAAGCGGCTTAAATATAACGGACGTTTGTCCAAATATTAAGAGTTAATCAGTTTTGCTAGGCTTTCCCTGCCCGGTGTTTGTTTGGTGCCATTCTAGGCTCCTTCCTGGTGGTCCATTGTAGCTGCCCTACCTTATTGATCTTTGTTTTCATATTTCGGTTAGCACAGATTATCCTAAGCCAATTATTTAAGTTAAAAGCACATACAGTTAGTTTAAACATATTTATTCCCGAAAGTATATATAATGTACATACATACAAATATATAACAAACAAAACATTTTACACAATGGAAAAGGATGAGAATGAAAGACAAGTCTTATAGAATTCTTCTCCTTTGGCGAACTATATGGTTCGTCTTAAATAAGTTTATAATTAGTATATACTAGACAAGGGAATAAGTATTAATTATACACACATAAAAGTATATATTTATATATAAACTTTTATAGATTAGATTAACTACAAGTAGATGTCTAAAATGTAAGAATATATATAAAAGAAGAAAACAAAATAGTGGAAAAGAGAAGAAAAAGGGTGAGAGAGGATTATAGTCTCAATTAGAATGGATCTAAGTAAATCTTTTCGTTTTTTCTATATAATTTTGTACATTTGTAAATATAATAACGTTGTCCTGGTATGTAAGAGATGGGTCACCATAGAGAAGTTTATGAAGGTTTATGCTGAAGTCTTGCAAGTTAAGGAGGAGTGTTCTGCGGACGGCATCGTATGCACAGCACTCGAAAAAGAAATGTTGGGTAGTTTCGATTTGCCCACAATTACACAAAGGGGTAAGAGAAATGTTTTTCAAAAACAGGTGGTGATTTAATGCGCTGCAGTTCGTTCGAAGCCGAGTGTGAAGGACCTGCAGTTTACGACTACCTGTATAAAAGTATGTTGGTGTATATTTTCTGTCCTTGTTTAAGAAAGTTTTAAATGAAGATATTGTATGGCTGTTTCGTATTATAACAGGCAAGTTGTTCCAATCACGAATAACTGATGGCAAGAAAGAATTGTGGTACAGAGTAGTCCTCGATGTAATTCCTCTGATATCTTCAGAGTTTCGTAAGCTGTAACGGGATTGATCTGGATTTGGTATTAATGATGAGAGATAATCTGGAGTTTTGTTCGACTGCATATTGTGAAACATAATTAGTTTGTGTTTATATCTTCTTTCGGATAACGATTCACATACAGTTCCATACACAGCTAAGCATTTTCAACATAGTAACGTATTATAACAATAACCGTATTTTCACTTAGTTATACTAGCATATGTCGATTTAATCGTTTGCGCAAAAAACATTGAAAAATAAAAAGTAAGTGTCAAACCTGAACATCATAAAAAAATGGATTAAACTGAACAATTTAATTGCAGCATTTTCGTGTAACTTTATAAAAATGCGTGGTTCTAAATGAATTGTTCAGAAGGGACATTTCTCTGATTACACACTGAAAGCA